CGTTACCGGCCTCCACCTGGACATAGAGCCATTGACCACCACCCTCTGTCTGCGGCCTTTCAACCAATTGTTGAAATTGTCAATGGTAGGGTGTAATCTAATGCTCTAATTCTGTGTTCTCTGAGGTTATGATAAGGGTTGTATCAAATAACCCACTTTGCCTCAGTTTTCTGAAATAAGAAATTTATAACGTTTTGTGAGGTCAGTACAAATGAAGATGCCTTTGAGGTTAAAAGCTGTATACTTGTGTGAAATGCTGTTTTTATAGGAAGTTCTATTCTAGTTTTTCATTTGACTTAATAGTTGATGAGCATCTCTAAAGTTATTCACGGAAGAAAGATTCAGCAATGACATACATAGAGGGATGTTGGAATGTCAAACATTTGAATCTGAAAACTTCATCAAAATACTCTTAGTTTTGTTCTTGCACTTTGCATTGAACTGAGGAGGGTTTTTTCTTAGGGGGACTTGATATATTCTGTTTTGTCATCTCTGTACTTAAATACAGAATGTTCAGCTATGGCTAAGATAGTGCCATATTATCAAATGGTTTGAGTTGGAAGGGACCTTAAAGATCATCTAATTCCACTCACCTTGTCACGGACAGGAGTTGCCACTCACTAGATCAGGATGCCCAGGGCCCCATTCAACCTGGCTTTGGACACCTCCAGGGATGGGTCATCTGCAGCTTCTCTGGGTGCCTTGTTCCTGTGCCTCAGCACCCTCGGAACAAAAAATTTCTTCCTGTCATCTAACCTAAATCTCCCCTCCTCTAGTTTAAAGCCATTCCCCCCTGTCCTGTCACTATCAGGCCATATAAAAAGTCACTTCCCTTCCTGCTTATAAGCTCCTTTCAAGTACTGAAAGGCTTGTGAGATCTCCACAGAACCTCTCTTCTCCAAGCTGAACAAGCTCACTTTCCTCAGCCTTTCTTCATAAGAAAGGCACTCCAGCCCTTAGATCATCTTTACGGCCTCCCTCTCAAACTGTACCAGCAGTTCCACATTTTTCTTGTGCTGGTGAGGATTCCAGGCCTGGACGTGGTACTGCAGGTAGGGCCTCATAAGTGCAGAGTAGATGGAAGCAATCACCTCCTTTGCCCTGCTGGACACCCCCCTTTTGATACAGCCCAGGGTACACTTAATCTTCTGGGCTGTAAGTGCATCCTACTGTCCAGCTTTTTGTTCACCAGGACTCTCAATTCCTTCTCCACATGGCTGCTTTCAGTAAGTTATTCTCCCAGTCTTTCCCCATTTCTGGGATTGCCCTGACCCAAGCATAACACTTTGCGCTTGACCTTGTTCAGTCTCATTAGGTTCACACAAGCCCACTTCTCAAGCCAGTCCAGGTCCCTCCTTCTCTTGTGTCATCTGCACCACTCAGCTTGGTGTCATCAGTGAACTTGCTGAGGGTGCACTCAATCACGTTGTCTGTTGATAAAGATGTTGAAGAGCGCTGGTCCTGAGGTGGGTTCCTGGGGGATATCACTCGTGGCCTCTACCTGGACATATAGGAGTGTCTAGGAGTCTAAGCATACTACATAGAAACTGTACTGCAAATTGCTCAAATTGAGCTTTTGTGGTTGTATCAACACTTAAAAATTTATGGAAAGATGTATGTTTTACTTTGCATGTTTTAGCAGTTATGTCATCTTCTGTATAATCTTTTCCTAGCTTCCAAAATACAGTGATACAATGGCTGAAATTTTAGTAACCACCATATTAACAAACTTTGAGCAGCTACAGACAAGGAGAACAGCGTCAGACTTTCACTATGTTACATTGGTTGTAGGAGATGCTGACAATCAAGTAATTTTTATTCAGAAAATAATGTATGTATAATCAGTTTTTTTCATCTTTCAAGTTTGTTGCCATTTATTCCTTTTTTGTCTTGCAGTTTTTGCAATACTTTCTATTTATGCCAAATATTAGTCTTTATCCTGTAGTTACTCAGTTGTCTCCTAAAATGTTGCACAACTCAATACAAGGAAAAAAAAAAAAGAAAAACATGCTTACATGCATGTCAGCACAGAGGGTATATGTGTAAATATCTGGACAACAGTGATGCCAAGTTGTAGAGATCTTTGAAAGTCAAAATATGTAAAATATCTTAATATATATACATATATGTTCTCAACTTGTTACTTCTGAGTATTAGCAATCTTTCTTTAGTAATATAATTGTTATAACTGTTTCTATGTCAGAGATGAAATTCAGTTCTCCAGTTAGTTAACTTATGTTTGGAGCAAATGGAAAAAGAGACAAAGTCATTTGTAACTGCATGATTTATACAGGAGTCCTGGCCAAGGTCTGACACTTTTGGCAGAATTGAAACTGATCTGCAGGATCCTGGCCTAAGACCATAGATGATATATTATTGAAAGGTTATTCTTAGGCCACTTATCAAGCAAAGTTCAAGAACCAATGCCAAAGAAAGGCTCCTTTACATAATTACTGGTACAATCTTGTATGCAGTCTTGTTTTCATTGACTGTATCTCATAAAGCTTTACTGATGCATTGCAGGGATTCTATGCTGCTGAAAACTGGAAATTGGATGAAGAAAATTGAAGTGAAAAGAGCTCTTAAATCAGATGACATTAGTATAAATTTAATTAGTTCTGATTATGGTGAGTTAATTAACATACTTGTAAATATAAAAGCAGTTGCTTAAGATATAAAATACGTTCTTAAAACACTTTACATCAGATCAAAATATAATAAAATCAACTGGAAAACAAATTCTATTCTTTTTATAGTGTTGAGTATTACCTATCTGCCCTAATTACAAATCCATTTACTTAGTAGAATATTAACGTTCTCAAACAAAACTGTTCTTGAGAGAGAATTTTGCTCAGTTTAGACAAATTAAAATTTTCTTTCTCACATTACCTTTAAGTTGAATTAATCTATCAGCTTTATAGGTAAATTGCACTAGAAATGGTTTTGTGTTCTTTGAATTTTGCAAATAAAATGTATTGATACAGATCCGTCTCCTCTTTAGTAGCATGAAACTTCTACAACGAAAAATGTTGTTTCTTAAGGTGTAAAGATTTCAACATCGGTTCCCTCAGTGCCAGTTTCCATGAAGCTGAAGCTACATGAGTAGATGAAGAATAGTAATGATGTTTCAAACACGTAACTTGACCTACATTAAAAATTGAACTGGCTGTAGTAAATTCTTCATCCTGCTCCAGTATTAAAAATAGATTTCTCTGTGCCAGATTAACTGAAATATATTTGTTTCTTCCAGGAAACCATTAAATATTAAGACAATTACAATAATTCAGCCTAGAATAATACTCCTGTGTTTAAACCTGTATCTCAGGCAGGAAGAAGTGTTTTCTAAACAAATAAGATAGAGAAAACATTGTAATTTTATTAATAGTTTGCTATCTACAAGTTGTACTGAGTGCAGTAAATCTTTAAGTGGAAAAAATGTTAATTTTTCTGAAATTGTCCCACTAGCAACAGTGAAGTTGCACTAAAAGCAAGTTTTCTTAGTGCCTTCTTACTTCCATCTGCATCTGTTTCATACATTAAGGAAATCTCACATTTTTGAAAATTCTGCCTTGTTTTTCAGCAATATTTGCCTAATTGAAGTTCAAAATACTTTCCTTTTCTATAACTGATTTCTCTCATAGTCTGTTACCAAGCTTAGTTTGTTAAAATTGAAAACAATTAGCCTTCAAATAAGAAAAAAAAAAAAGTCTATTAACATTGTCATTTTACTTCTTTGTCAGTACAAAGCTGCTGTCACGTAAGTCAGACTATAGTATTAGAATATAGACTATAGTATTAGAATATAGACTATAGTACAGTTTTACAGAAAATTATATCTGCACTGCAAATAAACCTCGTTCTATGACAGTACAGGAAAATTTTTATTAATGGAAATAATGTATTCTGTATAGTATAGCTATATTACTCACGTAGTAGTGATGGCATTAATTTCTGAGATGTGTGATTTTTTTTAACATTATCTACAATAAATCCATTCAAATAATAAGCTTGCTTTTAATGTTCCATATTCCTAACAAATTTCCGTGGTCTTTGTTAAAGATTCATACTTTCTTGAACTCTTCAGAAAAGTAGAAGTAATCAGTAGTTCAAGAAATACTGATTTGAAATACTTTTTCTTTTTTCAAAGTTGGCCTTGATATACAGCAAACATATACAGCATTTTACTTAACACCAAGAACAATGGGAAGTAAAGTAGTTATAAATAAACTGAAAGCTGAGTCTTCTGTTGATACATCTTGTGGCACAGCACAAAGTCTACCAGCAGCAAAAGTGGATACAGGTAAACAGTGATATCACAGCATCTGGCTAATTCCAAAGTCAACAGGAAGCTGAATTTTCTGTTCAGTAGAAAGTTAGATCTCTTTTATCCATATTGTTTCTTTCTCAACTATAACAAATATGTAATCCTACTGTTTCTGCTTGTCGAGTACTACTGTGCATTCTTTGAATTTGAAATTACAAAAATATTGTGAGTTTGCTATCTAATGTTGCTGTTTGATTTTGGAAATAGCGGTAGAGCCTCTGTTTTCTCATAGTGTTTGTTAATTTATTTCCAGTTATAGTGCTAGAACAGCTCAATGTTTTGTTGAAGGCAACAAAATACTAGTGATCCAGATTATTTTAGCCCATCCTACACTGCATGAGAAACTCTCTCAACAATGCATACAAAATAAAAAATGAACACTTCCATTCATCTAGGAAGCAGATCTAAAGAAGAAAATACCTATAAGAAATACAGTAACAGAGAATGTAACCATCGCTGTAAAAATAAAGATGTGTGTGGACATGACTGCTGTGAGTTTCATTAAATATGTTATTTCTGTTACTTTTAGATGAGTATAATTTACAGTAGTTCTGTTTATACCAATGTCTACATTAACAGAAGTGACACAAGCAATTGCTAAAAAAAGCAAACAAAAAAATCCACATTTTGTTAATGTAACTTTTATAGAGATTACAGTGGCTGTTAATGTTTTTCAGATCATCTAGCATATGATTTAAGACGAAAGTCAAGCTTGACCTCTTGTGTAAACATTAGTGTGTTAAACCTTTAGTATCTCTTAATAGAAGATATCCAAACTTAGTGGCAGAAATTCCATCGATTTGGAAATAATTATAATTTATCCCTTTTAAACTAATTGAAGGTTCTTTTAATACCTTTTCTCAGGTAAAACTGGAGTACTTCCAAAGTCTGAGATGAGTGGAGATTCAAAGTTTAGTTTGTACCTGGCTGATTTAAGGAGCAGGAACTCTACTTCATCTGTACCCCCAGTAAAGCGGTTAAAGGTTTGTTTGAATACAGTCAACATTTGAATATATTTTTTTAATCTGTTTTGTGTTTCTATGTATTTCCTTTCATAAGGAATTACAAGCTTGCAAGATTGTCTGCGTGGAATGCAAAAAGTGAAGTAGAAAGGTTCTAAAGGTCCAAGAATCTTTGACAGGTTCCACTGATGTTTGGAGTACTTCTCTTGATGCGGTTCTCTGCATGTACTCCGTTTTTATTCTAATGGCATTTGATAGATTGTGGTGGGTGAAATACAGAGGCATTATTGGATTTTGTATTGTAACTTAGTTTGACGAAATACAATGTGAACAAAAGTTACTACCACTATCTATCAAAGTAATGCCACTAGGAGATCTGCTGAGAATTTGCTCTATTGGGTAGTATTATTGTGTTCTTCATATCCGTTGTAGTTTCTGTGAAAACAAGTAGGAGGCTTTCCTTTGGTGTGACCTCTGTATCTTTGAACATGATGCCAAACTGATCTGTGCATTCAAGATACTGTAGTTTTAATTTTTCCTCACAGTTTTGTTTGTAATAGAGAAAAATGATTAGTCTGCAGCTAATATAGACAAAGTTAGTGATACCTAGTCTAGCTTCTTGGATAGCTATAATAGAAGCATGTAATTCAATATGGTATTATTATAGCTGTGTAATCTTGAGGCAAATCATACAGCATCAAGGGAAATTATTGCTGACTAAAAAAACTTTTTTTTAAGAGAACCCAAGAGATAACTAAATGCTGGAAAGATATAATATGCAATTTGTAAAAAAAAAATATGCTAGCTTGATAGAATATTAATAATATAATCCAGACTGTTGAAAAACATTTTTCAGTCTTTGTCTCATTGAGATTGAGATTACTATAACCTGCTTTCTTTAGATGCAGATGTTAAATCAGGCTCAAAGTGTGGATCTCAAACAATTTGTTTTTGCACCCAAATCTCTGATGCCAGCATCATCAAGGTACTAATGAATATAAATAACAATAATTAATGTATTTAAGCACTAGTTTTATTTTAACTAGTGCCTGTTTTCTGAATAAAATTCTTCTTTATTGCAGTTTTCTTCAACAGTTCCACTGATGTGTCAGTGTTTTGCTTTGTTTTGTTTTAAATAGGTCTGGTAATAAAGAGTCATTTTCGTCACGTTCAGTGGACCAGGTAGATAGTTTTAATAACTTAGGAAGATCTCAAAAACAATTCCAGTCCTGGGACTATGGAAAGAGTGGTAAGTTATGACTAATGTTTGAAATCATAACATTTGTTGTTTTGTGTTGAGTATACCTTGTATGTAAACTGAAACTTGCTGAAATCACAACAGCAACAAGTACAGGGAAATAGTGTGGCCTCAATTGGCTCTTTTTAAAATCGGTAAGAAATGCAAATGCAGATCTAAGTTATATACCTCTAAATAAAACAATAATGATGAATTTCAAGTATATGAGGGTACAAAACTACATACTATGTGCAAGGTATTTCCACTGAAGACACTTGCAGTATGAAAGGCATTTTACCTGTGTTATCTGTATCTTTTCTTCTTTCCTTCTCTACTGGAAGAAGTTAATGAAATAGGAGCTTTGGTCCATAACCTGTAAAACATCACTATCTAGAAAAAAGAAAAAATTCTTTCTACTTTTCTTTCATTTGAAAGGGCATTAAAGTTTTCTTATTTGAGGTTAAATGATCAGTCTTTATTGTTAGTATATAACCATGGTGTTCTCCTCAATGCACGCCCTTTACCATTCTAGTTGGTGACTGCAGTTAATGAGTCATGTTTTGATTGTCTGTTGGTTAAGTAAGTAGCAGATCCAATGTTTAGATCATACTCAGACATATAAGAAACACTGTTGAGATAAACTGATATATATATTTTTGGCTCATGCTGCCTTAAGTGATAGCAACCGCACTATATCAGTTCATTTTTACCAAATATCTTGAGGATGGAATATTCCTTTAAATTAATACTTCAGATTTGCCTGTGTGCTCACCCACCTGCTATTTCTTTTTTTTTACCTTAGTCTTAAGATGGAAGACTGTGCTGTATCATCAGTAGCTATGTGAGCCAGTTAGTATGTGATATGAATGTGTTATAAGGATAAATTCACAGAAAGACAGATGAATATTCTGGTATTACTATAGCTGTGTAATCTTGAGGCAAATCATACAGCATCAAGAGAAAATATTGCTAACTAAAAACCATCTCCATTGAATGGTACCAGAAAACATAACCTTAGCCATATAAATTGGGCCAGCTACACTTTAAAAAATGCACCAGAAATAATTTTAGTGAGATAAGGCCCCAAATTTTATGATTTATGTAGGATCAACTATGTCTTTAACATGGTATCTTTCCATTCTGTATAAATAAATGCAGGAAATTGAGAATATACTGTGAAATTGTAGTATAGTTAGGTATTTTAAACTGTGTATATGTCTGCAGTCGAGCACCATGATGATTTTGCATTCCCAGAATTACAATAGAAATGCCTTCCAGGTGCTTTTTGGTGTCTCTCGAACAGTATTTTTTACTTCAGCCTGTCCTGCTTCCCCTGCATTGAAAGGGATATCTAGATCAGAGTTCTTATGCTATATTGGGATCATGGCAACAAAGCAAAACACTTTCTGGTGCTACAGGGGAGGCTGGAGGAAGAGGAGGGGGGTAAAAGGCAGAGAATTGGATTGGTGATGAAGAAAGAGAACAAAACAAAGGGAGAGAAAGTGAGGAAAGTTGACTGTGAACCAGAAAACCGTGTATTTTCAAACATCAAGTATCTCACTTTAATTAAAAATCTTAACAATAATGCTTGGAAACGCTTGAAAACTTATCTCAAAGTAATGCTGATGAAAAAGCGCATGTGTGACAGTCCTTCTTTCAATAGATTGAACAACTGGTCTTAAAACAGAGCAATTTCTATTATACTTGACAATGGATTACAGCTTTCTCTTTGAATCATTAAGTATGTGTGAGAAAAGCTGAGAGACAGTGGCATAAAAGTCTTTCATGTGTAACTTGACTGATATAGCTAAAAGCTGATCTTTTTTTCAGATTCTTTGGATGTGAATGCTGAACTGAGAGATGACGTTTGGGATGATCTTGATGATGAAGTATTAGTAGTTGCTAGCAACCTTTTCAGTAGAGAATTAGGTAAGACTATGTACAAATTCTGAGTACAAATTATTTTACAGGATTATGGTGACTAAATACATCAGATAGCTCAGCTCCTCCATACTTTCACTCCCCATGCTCAACAGAACAGGGGGAGAAAATATGATGAAAAAGACCTCACGGGCTGGGATAAGGACAGGGGAGATGACTCCCCAGTTATGTCATGGGCAAAATAGACTCAGCACAAGATTTTATATATATATTTATCTATTGGTAACAATCTGGAGTGATGAGAAGGAAAAGCAAACTAAACACCTTCCCCTCATCCACCCTCTTCTACTTCTCTTCCTGAGTGGTGCAGGGCAATGGGAGCTGCAATCAGTACCCAATGCTTCATCTCTGCTGCTCCACAGTGATCACTCCTTCTTCACCACGTGCGGCCCCTTCCATAGGATGCCTTCCTTCCTAAATCGATCTTGTGTGGGCTTCCCATAGGCTGCAGCTCACCAAGCACTGCTCCAATGTGGCTCCATATCATGAGGCCCATCATTCAAGGAGCACGGTGCTCCAGCATGCATCCCCATGGGTGGCAGCTCCCCCAGGCCTCCTGCTCCACCACAAGCTCTTTTCCATAAGCTGCAGCTCTGGCCTGAGGACTATTCCTGCTGGGGCACATGGATATTTATTATTTATGATATGTAAAACATTTGCATATGGTTTTTTTTTGTGGTTTGGTGGCTGGTTTAAAACTTTGATTCTTAAATGGAATGTGAAAATACCTGCTTTTATATTTCAGATGAGCGTGAAACACTTCACAAGTACTCAACAAGTGAAGCCACAAGTGACATTTCAGAAGAGTAAGCATTATGTAATTTATTGCAATTTTATTCATTTTTAAAATTATCTATATTTTTCATTACTTATGTTCACAGTTCAATGTTCACATGCATAACTAAATATGTAGAAGATTGTTTACTGAGAGCATGGAGTGAAATTTCAACTTTAAAACGATAGGAATTGTTGACTAACTTGAAATGACTTCTTATTCAGGTGTGGAGGGAAAATCCTGAACTGAAAAGTAAGCCATTTTGCACTTCTGTAAAAATAACTTAATTTTCTCCACTTGGCATTTTCAGTTCTTGCCTATTGCAAAGTGATACCAGTATTCAGAACTCAGTTCTCTCTGTGTTTAATAGCTCATCAAAAGTGGAATTATCTGCACAGAGTGGACATGTAAATACGGTGAGTAAAAATGTTTCTATAACAGGATTCCCTGTATTAAATTACTCTTTCATATGAAAATGTATTTATCGTATCTGACATGTGAATCAGTTTGAACATACAGAATTTCTGAACCTATCTGTGTTGTTCAAACTCTGAACAAGCATGCATTCTGTGTTCAGTGTAATGTTGGCGTCACAAAGAACTAGGACTACTATGATCCATCCTGCAGGTTTTTTTTAACATTTTAACATTTGCCTTGCAGTTCCCTTCTCAAGAAAACAAACATTCAAATCTTTCACAAGAGCTGGAAAAAATACAATGTTCTTCAATTTCAAACGTAATCCCAGACTCTTCTAAATTCACTAGGAAAGAGAATTTTTTTATTTTCATGAAGGAACAGAAAGAAGAAGTGGAACCTGGGTAATAAGAAGTTGTATGTATTTCTCTGTTGTCTAAGTGTTAAGTACTTCTTTCTCCGTGGCAATTTGTTGATTTACTACAAATTCATTTTCAAAAGGTGAATTTACCTGGTAGTACTACCAGTTAACTATTCTTAGGAAGAAAATATTTTGAATAGTGTTTTTGATTTCATAGGTTTTTAAGTACTGTACCTAATTTTATTTTATTTTGCTCATTATTCATTAGATATCTTCCTGATGATGAGACCAGTGATGTCAAGCCTTTACTTGGACTACTTGATGACATATTTTAAAACAATATATTGTAAGTGTTTAAAAACAAACAAACAAAAAAACCACTTATTTTTCCAAAATTTCAGATACTGCTAAAAGAATTTCTTCTCTTTTTTGCAGCTACTTACCAGTAGTGGGATTACTGCCATACAGTAGGTCATTACATATTAAAAAAAAAAAAAAAAAGTTGATGTTTATTTAATGGAATTTTGGGTATATTATCTTATTTTGAAAATTGCTTACATTTTCATTTGTTGACCTCACTGCTTTCAGGATTGAAAAGAAAAAATGTAGGAATGTGTCAGAGGAGTTCTCATGCTGGCGATGTTTCTATAGATAAAGTAAAAATCATATAAGAAATAGTAAGCTATTTATTACATGTCCTGCTCCTAAGTACTGTTTAAATGAATGAAAAACTGTTTCCTCTGAAATTTCTTAAAGCTTTTTTATTTTGTTTGTCAGTATTTTAATCTGAATTTTTCTGCTTCTGTTAAATAGATTTAAAATGGAATGGAATAGTAAGTTACTCTAGGCTATTACTCCTTCTGATAGTACTACCAGCTTGTTTAAAAAAAAAAAAAAGTGCAACTTCCATCATGTTAGTGCCTTTCCTAGATCTCGACAAAACAGTTATTTAATGTCTATAAAAATATTCTAAAGCTGTATTTAACTGTTCACTTTGATGCTTGAGCTCATAAAAAAGACCTGTATGCATCTCAATACAAACTTAGGCAACCAAGTACTGGATTTGGCTATCTTCTTACAGCTCTCATGTTTGAACAATAAACATTGCATGTTCGTTGGGTAGAAAAATATGATATTCTCTTCATATGGATTTTAGGCAATATTAAATTTCAATGTTAATTATTCAAAATGTGTGAGAGTTTTAAAATAGCACAAGGAACCTTAGCTGTTTGTTCTTGCTTACAGTGCAACCAAACACAACCATGTTTCACTCCCATACATGATTCTATATTTCTTGGCTAGTAATAAGTTACATATATAAAAATTCCTCTTTCTCCATAAGAAATGACCAAGTACAAGCACCCTCAACACCCTAACAATACATGTATTTGACTGTGCTGTTTCCGACAGTCCCAGTCTTTTAACACACTTTGGTACACCTCAGTTATTTAATTGCTGCCAGAAGACAGTTGTATGTCAGATCTCTCGTCAAATCCTTCTTGCTCTCAACCCTGTAGTTGACTGTATCTAGTCTGAAACTGTGAACAGTCTGATACCAGAGTTAGGTATGGAAAACACTAGTTTGCCTGCAACTTGGTTTCCTCAGAATGAAACCCACGTGAGACGAAAAACTTAACATGAGCCAGCAGTGTGCCCTTGCGGCTCGGAAGGCAAATGGGATCCTGGGCTCCATCAGAAGAGGGGTGGCCAGCAGGGACAGAGAGGTGATTGTTCCCCTCTACTCTGCTCTTGTGAGGCCCCATCTGGAATACTGCGTCCAGGTCTGGAGCCCCCAGTACAAGAAAGACAGGGAGCTGTTGGAGAGGGTCCAGAGGAGGGCCACAAAGATGATCAGGGGACTGGAGCACCTCCCCTATGAGGACAGGCTGAGGGAGCTGGGCTTGTTCAGCCTGGAGAAAAGAAGGCTGCGGGGTGACCTCATTGCAGCCTTTCAGTACATAAAGGGAGCCTACAAACAGGAGGGGAATCAACTCTTTGAAAGGGTGAGTGACAGCAGGACAAGGGGAAATGGTTTTAAGCTGAGGGAAGGGAGATATAGGTTGGATGTCAGGGGGAAATTCTTTATGGAGAGAGTGGTGAGGTACTGGAACAGGCTGCCCAGGGAGGTTGTGGATGCCCCGTCCCTGGAGGTGTTCAAAGCCAGATTGGATGGGGCCCTGGGCAGTCTGGTCTAGCATTAGGTGGAATGGTGGTGGCCCTGCATGTGGCAGGGGGGTTGGAGATTCATGATCCTTGAGGTCCCTTCCAACCCTGGCAATTCTGTGATTCTGTGATTCTGTGAGTGTATTGTATGGAAATCATTACACATCCCAGAGGTGTCCAGATTGCAATTGGAAACAAGACCTAATATATCTGTGTGTTCTTTTAGTCATACACAGTATCGTAAGGTATAGTGGCACTGAAAATGGCTTGTCATGGTCTCTAGGTAGAATTGAAAAGCTTATCTTAACTCTGAACATAAACTTGAATACCATTGTGCTTTGCTTTCAATTCTGCACAAAGATAAGTTCAGAGGAGTTAACTGTCCCTAGACAGCCTGATTATTGGCTCCCAGTGTAAATTCTGGTATTTAGTCCCTTTCATGGCTTAAAGAAGTGGATGGCAGTAACAAGATCTTTTCATTTTTAAGTTTTCTCTTATTCCTTGACTGTTTTTATGTTTCCTTTCTCCTAGAGCAGAACACAATAGACTTGACATTCTCATCTCCTTCTAAATAAAGTGCTACCAATATTTGTGATGGATCAGACCTAAAGCCATCAACTACTTAATATCTAGGATTAACTCTGAGTGTCCATTTATTAAGAATTTGTGGGGGATTGGAAAGAAACAAATTTATTAAGATTATAAATAATTTATATAATCTTGGAGTGATACAACTTGTGACTTTCCAAAATTTCACTCGTATACCAGTTGCACAGATCTCGCTTGCAATCCAAATGTGGTGGCACACACTGAACTGTTTACTGGTAGCCATCATGAAACCCCCCCTAAAGGTTCTGAACTGTGTGTCAGTGACTGTAGTGGAAGTTAGTCATGATTAGATTGTCATAAATATGAATAGAGTGTTTATACCTCTGTACTAATGAAGCATTTTTTCAGCTTGGAGATGGTCTTTGATCCTATTTCTATACTGAGAGTATATTTTTATCTTTCTCTGTAATAGTCTGGTAATATATGTAATGTCTAGAATGTAACTGACTGTTGCCACTTTTGCTTCATATTTGGTATAATCTTAATGAAATTACTTATTTCCAGCCTAGATGATAGGTTTATGTTTAGATTGTTAGTGCAGAGAAAGTTGTCCTTGCAGGTATTTTATTTTCTTGTTAAGGTTTTCCTCAGTGCAGTTCAGTAGTTATTTTTTGATTTCTTGAAGGTTCAGGCTGATTAATTTTCTGATACTGTATTTTTCCTTCTGTTGATTTTAAAAGGCTTTAACTTCTAATTTTATCCATAGTCAGAACGCATGATAATAAATGCATTTCAGTACTTTCAAGGCTATTTGAAGTACGTTGCATATGGTTTCTAAGATCAATTCCTGACTATTTTTCATAGGAAGCCATCATTCTATGTATCATACTTGGAAAATTACAAAAATGTGCTATTGTTACTGGCAACACTTCAGAAAATACATTCAATACTGCAGTGTCTTTATAATAATGTTGAACACTAATGAAAAAACATTATTTCAAAGATAAATAGTTTATTTGTTGTTGTTTTGCTTCATTATTCATATTAGCTTGATTTCTCTTTAAAGTATAAATCACTTTCAGAAAACCAGTTTGGTAACACAAGTGTTCACTGTCTCGACAAGGAATGATTTTTTTCATATGGTAACATTTGTTTTCTCATTGTTCCATTTTTTCAAATCATAATAGTTGGAAGATCAAAACTGATAACCATATTCTGTGGTTCTATTCTATTTCCCTGGCAATAACTGAATTCAGATACACAGTGACTATGCTTGACAACTTATATGGACAAAAAACCCAAACTGACTGCAGAATTAGAAATATCTACTCGTGGTTGGATTGTTTGTGTGGGCTTTTTTTTTTTTTTTTTTTTCCCCTTGGTATTTTTTTTATTTTTTAAATTAAAACATTCAAATAAAGGTAACTTACCGTTATTGTACTACTGCTGTGTTTAGACCAGCAGTCCCGATTAAGGCAAATCTTAGTCGTGTTATGACATGTAAAAAGCAGAGTTTACCTCTTCCAAACCATTTCTTATTTCCATAGCAGGAACTCTGGTGTTTCTCTACAGATGCTAGATATGAATGACTCGGGGACCAAAATCCTAGTCATGCCCCAAAAGGTGTGCATAGACATAGCTATTAAGAGCTCTCTAATTTTAGTCATATAACTGAATAATCTAAAGGTCATAAACCTTGTTTACCATACACCCTAGAAAGAAGCAGGCAGTGTCAGAAGATGATTCAGGTTGTAAGTGGGCTGAATTACTCTCTAGTGGAACTCATCAAATTATGCGATGATGAAAGTGACTACATACAGTTAGTGTGAAAATGCTGCTGCGCTGCAAATTAATAGTAAATTAAATAAATATTGCTTTTCTTGCATAAATGAGGTGCTTGGCTTCTTTTACCCCCATAAGGATGTTATTTTTCTATGTTGAATGGTCCTGTTTCTGGACAGCAAAAGATGGCTGTGCTCCACTAATTTTGCTGCATGTAGCTTCATTTCAGGTGCCTCACTGATGATAAATATACTAATTAAATTCAGTGTAAGATTGTTTCATTCAGCTGCTTCCCGTTGATAAAATACTGACTTAAATATATTGTTGAAGCATGAAGGGATCTTGTTATTTTTTTTAATTTTGCATAGTGTTGTAACATTAAATAAGTGACTTGAGTTTGAATCATTTGAATTGTATAAGTAGTTCCTTCAGAATGTCACTGATTTTAGTCTGAGGATGATTCTATAAAGTATATATTATAAAAATACTGTTTCCCACACTGGAGCCATGAAAGAAAATTCAGTGTGACAAGAAGTCAGATTTTACTGTCTTACTTGTCTGATACTCTGTAATAAAATACATGCTCATACCTGCTTTTAATTTAAATTCATCTTCCTTGTGTGCTTCCTTTTCCTATCAAATGTATTGGTTTCAAAATATAAAGTAAGGTCAGCTGTGTCTGTGCCTTAAGAAAATGCAATATGCACTCAAAAGGCAAGATCAGAAATTACTAGCAGAAAAATATATATAGTGTTTAAACATGTTGCCAGACACATTTCTGTATAAGGTCAGTTTATAGCATGTTGATTACTGTAAATGTACAGTGACAAGTGTACGCAGCTTGTCTCGTGTTCATTTAAATTACATGGAATTCATTCATATATGTAAACACTTCAATAAGTTAAACTGTACAGTAATTGTTAAAATAATAATGGAAGTTGTGGCAAGTAGGAATCTTACTTTTTTGGATTTGCTTTTACTTAGATATTGCTTCACAGAATAGTTAAGTGAGAGATAAAAGCTGGTGCTCTTAAAGGCAGTTAACAATAATGAAGATTGAACAGAAATCACTGAATTGAACCAATATGCATCTGAAAATAATTAAAGTAATTCCTTTTGTGGAGCACAAAAAGTCATTCCTTTTGTGGACACCATCATGCCAGAATTGGTGGTCTCTCATTTAAATGAAAGGGTGTCATGCTTTACCTCTTGACCCCTTCTGCTTTACATGTAGAAGCAAGAGTAGTAGGTCAGTTGTTCTACTGGTGCAATCTTTAAAAGATATCCATGAAATGAGACTCACGGATGCCCTTTTTTTCACCCACTCTTTTGTTTAACAAAAAATAGAGAAGGAAGTGCTATTCAGTAAGAGCAAAATTCACTTTCTGTAGAACACTAAAATCTCATTGAAGGTTTACATAAGAATATAATGACTTATATACTTTGTGCTGACAGTTTGCAGTGATGAAATTCAGCTTGGGCTGGAAGAGTTATTGGCTTTATTTGCTGCCACTGCAGAGCTGAGGGTAAGGTCTCCTGTTTAACCATGTTGCCATTATTTGTTCCTCAAACCTCTAATGAGAGAAAATTGTATCTCTCTAAGCCCCCTCCTCTCTACCAGAGACAACTCCTTGTCTCTATAAGCTCTTGGCAGGTTTTTTCAGATAAAGTAGGCTTGGGCTACACCTCAGGAGTAATAGGAGGAGGCAGGAACTGTTTGTCTCCTGCTCCACAAGTTCTTTGATCACTGCTCTGCTTTGCTGTGGTTGTGAAGTGGATGGGAAAGCTGTGCTAGTATTAACCTGCAGTCCTGCACTGCATGTCCTGTTCTGAATGCAAAGTCCTGACACAGGTTGTTTATATCAGCCGAGGAAAGCTGCTTTCCAATTCACATAGTATGCAAACTGCTACATGAAAGCCATCCATTTGATTTGGATGTAAGATTGTAATTTGGTCATGTAAGATGTGCTCTAATTGTTGCTGGGTCTGTCTTCCTGCAGTTCTTAAATTGATTGTTTCCATGTGCCGTACTTGCAGGCATCTGAGCAGTGGTGTGCGATAACGTTGCACGTTTTGCAGAAATGCAGTACGTGAGGTGGACGTATTTTGTATAAAGCAGGTGT